GGCCCAGGTTCGATCCCTGGTCAGGGAACGAGATCCCACATGCATGCCGCAACTAAGGAGGCCGCCCGCAACTAAGACCCATCACAACCAAATAAATATTAAGAAAAAAAAATCGAGCTGGGCCAATCCGGCAGGAAAAGCAGTTCTCAAAGGCTGACACAAACCCGGGAGTTCCCGTCCAAGGAGCCCCTCCTTTTCGGACACCACCCCAGCCTCCGGACATAGGCCGCCCACAAGTGACAGACCAGGGAACCGCCCGGGCCGAGAAGACCACACAGTTCCGAGGCGGCCCACCCCGCCCCCGCCTCCCCGGGCCCCGGCGCGGAAGTCAGGGGGAGGAGACGGGGGCGGGGAGAGGGAGGGAAGGCAATGGGTTTCCGGTGCCGAGCGGCTGTTTACTAGGACAGTCACGTGAGGCGCCTGGCTTACTGAGGCACCCGGAAGGATCTGGCGGGGCGCCGGCCTCCGAGCCTGGCCAACCTAAGGACCGTCTCTCCCGGCCCAGCGGCCCCAGTGCGGGGTGGGGTGGGGGGGAGCCCAGGTCCGGTTCTCCTCTTCCCAGGGTCTCTGCCTTGGCCTTACATTTTTGGGAAACCCCAGGAGTTCCAGGCTGGGGAGGGGAATCTGGGGGCAGAAAGGGTATCTAGAAGGAGCCTGGAGTTGTCAGACCACGCCCCTCATAGCCGGGGTGCAGGACAGGTTTGGGGGGTCGTCAGGAGTCAGTGGAGGGAGAAGAGTGTCCCAGGTTTGGAGAAAGGGTGGGGGTAGCATCTTGGGAAGAACACTCTGGGAAAGACCCAGGATCATGCGCCGGAGAGGTGGAGAAGGGGGAATGTGCATCTATACACTCTACCTTCCCACCCACTCCGAGCAGCTTTCAAGCTCTTGCTGTGCCTCAGGGGACTCAGGCCTCGGCCTCTCCCACGTGGTCCTCCTCCCGTCCCATACACCTACAGGGCCAGCAGCCTCCCCTGGCACCCTGCTCCATCCACCGCGTGGCATCAGGCTCTTTCACATCCCAGCCAATGCGCTCTCAGGCCCTACCTTCTGCTCTGCGCGCTCGCTTGCCTGTTCCGACAGGGGCACTCTTACACGCCTCTGTGCCTTTGCACATGCTGTTCCCTGCACCCGGACTGCCCTGTCCCACAACCCCTCTTCTCTCACTGGTGAACTCCGGAGCCAGACCCCATATCCACCATATCGAGCTACAGAGTAGTCCCTTCTGGAATGCCTTGTCTAGGAGCGTCGACCACCAGCTCCACTCAGCCCCACTTTTCGGCCTCCCTCAGACCAGGGGCCAAAGCGTGTGCGCGGGGCCTGTCACTTGCAGTGAAAGCGCTTTGAGGCTGGGGAACTGCACATGGCTGAGAGAGTAGTGAGCAGGTAACTCGGCCTCTATGGGAATCAGGTGTCAAGGGACGCTGGGCGGGGTGCAGTGGGGACAGCTTCGGAAGGAAGGAGTGGTGTGGTGCTTCAGGGCTCTCCCAGCCCCAGGTTGGGAGGGGTTGTCCGGAACTGCGTACCATGCTGGTGCCCACGCCCCCTCCCTTCCCCTCCTCCCCCAGCCGCCCGGGCGCGGGCGGTGGCCGCGGGCTGAACTCACTCGGCTGCAGTGACTCGCTAGCTGCAATTGCGGCCCCCGCGGCCCCGCCTCGCCTCCCGGAACCGGAGCCGGCAGAGCACGCTCGCAGCTGCGTCAGCCCCGACGCCTGTCTTCTCCGGCCTGAGCCCCGCGAGCGGTAGGCGCAGGGGAGGCCCTCCTCAGGTCTGGGGTTCTAGGAGGCATGAGTGCGTGGACAAGGCTGACGGTTGCGGAGGCGCAGAGGGGCCCAGGGTTCAAAGCAGTTAAGCAGACAGTGTCAAGGAGTGTCAGTTGCTTTGTTTGGACTTGACCTCCCCGCTCCAGGGTATTCAGAGCTAGCCTCACACCGCCCTGGGATGGAAGGCTCCCCTAGGCCCTCACCACGCCTTAAGGCAGGACCCCAGACCAGTGGCCATCCAGCAGGTCCTTGGTTCCTCCCAGTAATAAGGAGCTCGCTACTAAGAACGATCTTAACACCCCCTGGCTCATTCATTTATTCAACAGATGTTTACCAGGCACTTACTATGTGGCAGAGACTGGGCACTGGTTTAGATAATGAGGATTTAGCTGTGACAAAACCAACCCTTTTGGTCAATGTTCCAGGATTCTTCTGAGTGTGTGGATCACTTCCCCCTGGAAGCCCTCCTAGCTCTACCCTCTGAGTTAAGCCCCTCTTCTTTGCTCTAATAGTTCCCAGCCTTCCCCACCACCACCACACCTCCACTTCCTTAACCCAGAGAAGGCAGAGCCTCTTCTGGTTTGGACCTGACCAAGGTGTTTGGTGATGACTGATGCACCAATGCCCAGTGGAAGCTGAATCCTGAGCTTTGAGAAATCCCCACGGCTTTCAGCTCTGCCGTCTGGAGCTAGGCTGGTCCAGGGAAAACCTTGCTCCTGCCTTGTGGTACAGCCCCTAGAGCAGGTATCATGGACAAACGTGTGGGGCAGGAAGCCAGGACTCCACGAGCTGCCCGTCTGAGGTTAAGCCCAAGGGTCAGAAGGCCTGGGACCCTCACCCACAAAGAAGGACATGGGCATGTGTTTTAACACAGGTGGTAGTTGAAATCTGGGGGCAGGAAGGGCAGCTGCATGTTTCACACCAAGGGCAGATGGCCATACTGGGAGACTTCCCCATGGTCTGAGGGGAAGGAACCCCCCTCTCCCCACTGGGGAACAGCCCACTTCCCAGAACAACATCTCTGTGACCCTGACTTCCTCTGTCCACTCCTGTTCTTTCTTCTGTCTGGAATCTCCCTATCTCTTCTCAAGGCCAGTTCATTCTCATCCTTCCACTTGCTGCTCAAATGTCACCTTCCTGGTCCACCCTATCTAAAATTCATCCCCTCCTCCGGTTCCCTTCATGCAACCACCTCACCTTCTTCAGAACACTTACACGGCTGCTATTCACTGGGATTGTTGCCTGGCTTCCTCCACTAGAATACAAGCTCCATGAAGGCAGAAAACTTGCCTTTCACCTGCCTTATTTTTTTTTAATATTTATTTATATATGTGGCTGTACCAGGTCTTAGTTGCGGCATGTGGGATCTAGTTCCCTGGCCAGGGGTTGAACCCGGGCCCCCTGCATTGGGAACACAGAGTCTTAGCCACTGGGCCACCAGGGAAGTCCCTCACCTGCCTTATTTCCACAAGCTGTGCCCTGCGTGGAGGGTGTTTGTTGAATGAATGAAGTTTTGTTCCAGAATCACATAAAGAATGAAGCTAAAAGTCAGGAAAACCAAATCCTGCTCTGCTACTAATTTTTTTTTTAATAAATTTATTTATTTTTGGCTGCATTGGGTGTTTGTTGCTGTGTGCGGGCTTTCTCTAGTTGCTGAGAGCGGGGGGCTACTCTGTGTTGCGGTGCACAGGCTTCTCATTGCGGTGGCTTCTCTTATTGCGGAGCACGGGCTTTAGGTGCATGGGCTTCAGTAGTTGTGGCACACGGGCTCAGTAGTTGTGGCTCGCAGGCTCTAGAGCGCAGGCTCAGTAGTTGTGGCACACGGGCTTAGTTACTCCACAGCATGTGGGATCTTCCCCGACCAGGGCTTGAACCTGTGTCCCCTGCATTGGCAGGTGGATTCTTAACCACTACACCACCAGGGAAGTCCCTCTGCTTCTCATTTTTAAATTTATCTCTTTATAGCTACCTTTTACACAAAGGATTGCCGTCAACTTTTAAATATACAGTGAGAGTGAGATAGGTAGGTAGCTCGATAAAAAATCAGGCAGAGAAAGTTCAGGCAGGTTTAAAAGTAAAGGCCATAGAGTCATTTATCACTGCCAAATTTGTGCCTCAGTTATGGTTTTTAGCTTCCTGGGAGCTAAAGTAAAAGGGAACAGTATTTATTACATGATTCATCTTGTCTGTAAGGAAAAGCATCCCAGTTCCTCAGGGAAAGCAAACTTTTTTGCTGGTAGGTGATGTATAAGACATTTCTCACGTAGGCCTTCATACGGGGATGTGGTAGTTCTTGATAGCAACTCTCCCTACTAAAGGCCTGTGCACGGAGAGCTGCAATATCAGCAGTGAGCAGGATGCCAAGGACACCTCGGTACGTGCAGCTCTGCAGGGTGAACAAAGGGGTTTTCTGGGGCTCTGGCTAGACCCGGGGGGTAAGGCCTAGAATCAAAGAGGGATGGAGGGACTGAATTCCTTTCAGAGCAGTGTGGCTCCCAGCTTTTGGGTTTACATAGCCAATAATTTTATTTTTAAGTTGGATATTTTCAATACCATCTATAAAATATTCCTGTAAAAAAAAAAAGAGGAACCCAAATTGGATCAAGATCTAATCACCTCCTTATAAAAACTGCAGAGGGGGAGAGGGCTTCCCTGGTGGCGCAGTGGTTGAGAGTCCACCTGCCAATGCAGGGGACACGGGTTCGTGCTCCGGTCCGGGAGGATCCCACATGCCGCGGAGCGGCTGGGCCCGTGAGCCATGGCCGCTGAGCCTGCGTGTCCGGAGCCTGTGCTCCGCAACGGGAGAGGCCACAACAGTGAGAGGCCCGTGTACC